CGGGGGAGGAGGCGCTGAATCCAGTGGGACAGTCACTTGCAGGCTCACGGGGCCCTGCGGCGCCCGCTGTGTGAGGCTGCACCTCGCCTGCGGCCGCCCTCCCCGGGGAGGGTGCGCACCGCTCACTGCTCGCCTTTTTTGCAGATCTACCCGGACGAAAGCCATTACTTCCACGGCGAGCGCCTCCAGCGGCACCTCTACAGCGCCATCGTCAACTTCTTCGCGGAATGCTTCAGGGTCCAGGACAAACCGCCCATGGCCCCGGCGAGGGAGGAGGAGGAGGAGGAGGAGGACTGAGGGCCTGGCAGCCCCCCGCAGTGTGGCTCTCCCTGGACCAGGGTTGGACCGGGGACCCCGCCCCCCGCTCCCGAGGCGCTGGGTGGGGCGGTGCGTCTCCCTCCCGTAGCACCTGCGTCTGGGGCCCTTGAAGGCACTGCTGCTTCAGAAACCAGCCCCTTCCCGAGGGGAGATGCCTCCTCCCTCCCGCGCGCGCCCCCAGGAGCCCGGGACCCTCACGCATGCCTCCTGCTGGCCACACCGCGGCAGGTGAGTCCCAGGCGCCCCAGGAACCCGGTCAGGACGAGGGCAGAGAAGAAGTTGGCCTTGTTGGCGCCATCTGGAGGAGGCATAGAGCCCCACCCGCCTGGCATGCCCACCACCCGGGCACACATCCTGAGTAGCCACGCCATGGGCACCCCAGAGCACAATGCCCGACGGCCTCCCTCCGGTATATAACTGTCGTCCCAATTAGATATGAAGTTGCTTAAGATAGAGCCACTTCTTATTAATTTTACTCATCACATCCTTCATCATGGACTGCATGCGCCCCAGGCAGCCCCGTGCTGACCATAGACGGGCGGCCCAGTCCCACCGCGGGTGCCCCACAGAGGAGAGCTCTGGTGAGGCCACAGCGTTGCCACAGTAAACCCTCGGTTTTGCGGACCTCAGTTTAACAAACCAGATTTAATGGTCAAAATTTCCAGTATGTACATCATATGTGAACATTAACGTCCTGTTAATTTTAAAATGCTTTTAATCACGATTTGCTTATAATTAACAGGTTAGGTTTTTGTTATTACTTCACTGTTATTTGTTATTTTTTTAAGTGAGGTGTTTTCAGAGTTGAAAGGTACACTTTTTCCTCATCAAGCCCTTTGTTAAAACTTGTGAATAGATCAGGGCAGTGATGGCGAACCTATGACACGCGTGTCAGAGGTGACACGCGAACTCATTTTTTTGGTTGATTTTTTTTTGTTAAATGGCATTTAAATATATAAAATAAATATCAAAAATATAAATCTTTGTTTTACTATGGTTGCAAATATCAAAAAAAATTTCTGTGTGTGCCTGCAACCCAAATATGTGCCCTTGACCATCATTCGAACCTGTGGCCCTTCAGTGCGCGGGGTCAGCACTCTAACCATTTAGCTACACTGGCTAGGGCTGCATTGTTATATTTAACAAATTTTAGTGAATAGGCCATATGTTGGAAAGAACACTGTAGTAATTTTACTGACATAAGTAAACATTACATATCTATAACTATAGCCTACATACTTTAATCCAAGAGTTACCCCTAGTAAATAGTGTTCAGCCAGTGATTAGCACATGATCACACCACATCGCCTTTGATAGTTGCTTCTGTTGTTCTATTGTTACATGGGGTGACTTTCTGCAGCAGATTTAACGTGTGCCAGGCCGATGTTGCTGCGTGCACTAAGCCACACCCCAGCCGTGTGCATTTGTTTACTTGTGGTGACTGGTAAATGCAAGCATTTACTAGACATACTCAGTATAAATTTAAAATTATAGTAGTACATAAAGAAAACTTTTCTGCAAAATTAAACTTTTCATATATACTTAATTTTAATTACACAAATGTGTCTACATAAGTAAAAACATTAAACCGATTAATTTGTCAATTTTTTTAACATATACATTCAGAAAACCTGCTTTATTATGTAACGGACTTTCTGCTTCAATGGCCACGCCCTCACCCGAACTAGTCCGCTCCCCGAGGTTTTACTGCACAAGACTTTCCAGCCACCGACCTGCGAGAAGCCTGTTCCTGTCTGGTTATTCATTTGGCGAGTCTGGCGAGAACAGAACTCGGCCAGAAAGCAGGGCGTCCACGAAATGAACCCGAACCCCCGAGCAGAGGTGCCTCAGAGACGAGATCAGCATGCACCCCGCGGGGGACAGCTGAGCCGCACCCTCTTCTCCACCCAGAATCCCCTGGCGCTGGTGCCGAGGGCCTGGCTCCCGTCTGCAAACCACAAGCTCCAGAGCAGCCGTCACTGAGTTCTGCCCCCACCCCCGGCACAGACAGGGCGTCCAAGTCCAGAACAGACCAGGCGTCACCCCACATCACACAGGAAGCATCTGAAGCCCGGGCCCCCGGGGTGCGAATGTCCCCCTGGGGTTCTCCACGTCCCCAGCACTGGCGCCCCCAGCAGGGCCTGGCCAACACGCGCCAGGCTGCCTGGAAATGGGGCCGGGGTCTAGATTCTGAACAAATGAGGAAGCTGTGCTGTGCCCATCTCTGCTGGCTTCCACGCGGTGGCGCAAGCACAGCGAGGAGCATAGATCCTGGGCCCGAACCCGACTCGCCTCTAGCTCTCAACCCTCAAACTCTGGTCTGCGTCACCATCCTGCCCGGCTTTTGTAAAAGAGCTCGAAGCCCAGGCTGACGATGCCCACGTGTCTGCGCCGCACATGGGAAAGTGCCGCTCTGGGTTCCCTGGCCCGTCTGAGCTCACCTCCTCCTCCGGCCAGCTGAGCCGATGACCCACGGCAAAGGCTTGGCCCCAGGAAATCCGAATCCTGGGCGACCGTTTCTGATCATAAGACCAGGCCCCGGGGTAGCAGCACTTCAGACCGTAGGAGGGTCTGCCCGCCTCAGCTCCTGAGCAGCTCGGTCCCCAGGGGGCTCCCGCGGTCCCTGCCACAGCCCCTCCCGGAAACCCCTTTCCATCTAAATGCCAGGTTCGCTCTCTACCGGACGGAAGGAGCTGCCAGACCACTACTTCTCAGAGCTTCCATTTCCCATGGGCCTGGGTCCAATCCCTTAAACATGATGTAACACCATGGCCCCAAGTTATTTTGGCAAACGCACCTCCCATTAGTGCCCCTACTCAGAGCATCCTGCACATGCCCACGCCTGCCTGCTCTGCGCTCATGCGCACGCACATGCACATGCACACGCACACACCTTCATGCATGCACACTGTGCACACTCACATATACTCACGGACACACGCATTCACATGTACTTGCACACACTCACACACACAGCATCCTACTCGCAGACACGGTTACTTTCCCCTCAGTCTACAACAGCGTCTCTGACACCTGGGCTGGGTTGCTCTCTCTGGGGGCCCTGTGCGCTGTGGGTGCCCAGTGTTCACCGCCCTCCGGGCACCAGATGCAGTAGGCGCCCGCAGCCCGCTCCAGGCCCTGTCCCCCACGGGCACTGCCACTGCTTCTGTTAGTGCTGGGCAAAAGTCAGTCACTCCAGAATTAATGCAATATTCCTATATTAATAATAAGTATTAATAATGGCTGTTGATTGAGAGCTTGCTTGTCCCACTGCTCCAAGCGTCCCAGGTGGAGCAACATCGTCGTCCAGCAGTCAGAGCACCCCCCCCAGCAGCACACCGCCCCAGGAGCCCAGGACGCGGACTTGCTGCCACCCTCAGGGCAGAGCGGGGAGCAGCCACGCGGAGCGCACCAAGGCGGGCTCTGACTAGCCCACAGGGAGCTCACCCGTGTCGGGGACCGGTGACGCGGTTATGCCTTGGAATAACAGGTTTGGTGTTGGTTTGGGTTTTGTGGTTGGTTTGTTCTGGTCGAAGGAGTGGGCGGGTTCCTGCCCAGGCGCCTGGAGAGAAGGCGGGTCTCTAACGGGGAGCAGAGGCGGTGTGGCTCCCGTGGGCGCAGGGGCCGCCCCAGCTCAGCAGGACGCTGCCCGGCATCCTCAGTCCAGTGATCCTCCAGGGGTCGGGCCACCTCGGCCGCCCAGGGTCTGC